ACAGTACAACATTTCAAGGTCAACCTTTTCCCTGATGAAAGACAAATACCAAGTGAACAGTGAGTTTCTTTCTCTGAAGACAGGATAAACGAGATATTTCAGTAACCTTGTAGCTTCGTTCTTAACAATTTATCAGCCGTATAATCTGCAAAAAATATTTGACTCAAATTGTTCTTTGTTCTTAAATCGAATTTGGGTAAAGACAGCTTTAACATTTCATTACTTCAATCTTCAAGAACCTCACAAACTTCCCATCGTTTACGAAGCTCTGCTCATTTGGTCCACGAACATCTCAAATAGCAAACCTTGTCAGGGGTTGCTGTCAAGGTTTGTTTCTAAGAAATGCAACTTTACCGAGGATCACTGCCTTAGTCTCGTATTCGTGACTCGATCCTTCTGTTCATCTCTCTAGTCCGACTGTTGTTTCCCCAGCACATTTGGAAGAGCCTTCTTTTCTACCCCTGTGCCTGTCTCGCAGAGTGCTTAGCGCTCCTTGCTGTCAATCAAAACTAGACACAAGTTCAAACCATTGCCTCAGCGCGTCACTTAAGGTCACTGGTAATGCGTTGATATCCCTTAGAATGATGTAAAATGGAAAAGGAAATTGTTCCATGTAGGATTTGATCTCGGGTAACTTTCCTGGACGGAAAATCGGTACTCTGATGTCAAGAACCGAGTCTTTGTTAGCTGGGTTGTCAAGTATTACAAATACCATGAAGATATCTGTCTCCCTTGCTAGTCGTACAGCCTTTTGAACAGTCTAAGGGAAGAAATAAGGCCGTGCCAGTTATTAAATTATCTCTCTACGGTGGCCAATTTACGAAATCAATTCAGTTGGTAAACCAAATTACGTTGTAATACCCCCACCGACGCAGCACCACAAATTCTTGAGAGACTTGCTCCCTTTATCCATACTTGAACAGAGCGCTTTTCAGTGGTATGAGACGAACACCAAAACCTGAGTTATCACTATGGCCAATCGGAAAAGAAGACAAATATCGCAAGGATCCAATGATAACTCAAGTAAAAAGAAGCTAATGATCTTATGAACGAGGAAACGCTAGTGAGCAATTGTCAACTAGTTTCACTTTTTAATTTGTTAAGTCGGGAGAGTGGCGCGAGGTTTCTTTTCAAATCAATGAGCTTTCTAAAGTAAAACCAAATGCAATCTTCGACTACTTTCGAAGATCAACTTCCAGAAAATTCATATAAAAATTGTGCATGATTAGCTCACTAACCTCCATCCCCTCCAGAAATATTCCTCTCCCGTCAGACACAATTAGCAATAACTGGCTCGTTTCTCTTCTCATCCGGGGAGACACTTGTAACCGTGAATGTGACGCCACCATTAAACTTGTACACGTACTTAAAAGCTACATATAAAGGTATAAAAACGCAGAGACTTAGAATGATTTCTATGGCATTATCTCGGATAGCTATAATACCATTGCCTGCTCTGATAATGTTCTCATCGAAAAAGTTTGATGATAGAGTTTCACCATCATTTCCTTAGGAAACACGAAATATCATACCAATCTCACCAGCAACCAAGACTACGGATATTTACGATTGAGAGTAATATTACAACACAAATGGAAAGTATGCAATAATTGAGGTCAATAATTTAATTGAAATTTCACTAGTTAACCCTTTACCTCACAAGATCTAATTTGCACCTCTCCCTTCCCATTACCATAGAATCCCTTTAAATTTGTTGGGAGAATTTGATCGTGTATCAAAATAAAAATCGCTATCCGATATATTGATTAGTCTGTTTGCGATATAGGATACAAAGCATGTATTGTTTAAAGTCCCGAGGCGTGGCTTACTTCGGCTATCTTGGTTTTCTTCTGATCAAAAGTGAACTGCTGTAGAATTCTAGCTCCTGAGTTATCTGTGAAGGGTTCGTGGAATGGATGCAAGAGGCAGACAGTTTCCCCAAAACTAAAATATAAAAACACACACACACAAAAGCAAGTGTAACGTTAGACTCATCCACAATTTCACCATCCTAACACACTTCTATTCCATCGATCACTAATTCTCAGCCCTTTCACTTGACGCAATTTTTACAGAACACACATAAAAAAATTCGAAAAGGTCAGAATAAGTTCAAATTTCCCACAGGAACATACGCGTAAATGTAAGTCACACACGCAGATGAAAACGTTTCTCATTATGACCTTTTTGTTCCTATAACTTCTAACAAGACCTACTGACTATGAACACTCCACAGTTGCAGTGTCAACATGCTTTGCTGTGCCTCTGCTCCTTCGAGTTCAACACCGATATGCTGACGCTGTAAATTGCACTCACCTACAAACACCCAAATCCCCAGCTTCAAGTCTGGTTAAAGCATTGCTGATGACAGCTAACGACTCAAACGCCAGCTAGAGCGATGTGATAAAAAACAGAATTCAGCATTATAGTGTATCAATCTGAGAAAAACATTCGCTGGAACTGCACTAAACACGCCACGGTACAAACTGGTAAAGTAGTTCTTCCCTTTTGGAATCTGACTGACATGTATGAAATGGCGACGAGTTTTCTTTTAGTAAACAAATGGGTGTAATCTATAGAATAAGAAACCTTTACCATTAAAATCAAATGTCAAGTTTTCTACTTGAACTTAAAATGTCCTCAAGTTAGAGTTCTTCATCTCAAACTAAAGTTAGTTGGCTATAAACAGACTGACGACCTATGTTAATTTTGGTGAAAACCAATAAAAGTCTCAATTTGAGGCTGCCAGACTTCAGCAGTATCGAAAAGGTAACGCACAACTGAGCTTGAACTTTCAGCCGCCCAATGACAAAGGCTATTTCCTAAAAACCATAAAAATGGAGGGACTCTTTCATAGTTCAAGACTGATCGCAGCCTGCGTAAATCGATGTTGGGGCAAGATCTGACCTGTCAATCAGTCTTGTCCCAATCTCCTCCGACACGATCACAAAAGGGTTCCCAATCCATATCGAGACAAAGGGAAACTGTTAGCAACTTTCAGTGGTCCCCAGGCCTTTCTCGTGATTACCTGTTTAGAGCGATTGTCATTCATGCTGGAAGAGTCATCCACAGCCAGCATGATCTGGTACTGTCTCTTACTCGGCTTCGTCCTCCTCAGCCAGATTTTGTCCTTACGGAACTGACTAGCAATGTAAGGGATCACTTTCCTCATGTTTAACCGTTTTCCTGATCGATAATCGCCCCTGTAAACAAATGGTAAGGTCACTGTGTCATCAAACAGTGAAAGGCGCTCAGACTTAGTTGTTTTTCGCATGTGAGAAAAATTTCAGGCCATCGAGGATCATTTCACAGTTTTCTCACTGTACAAAATGTTTCCGATTTCCAGACATCACTGCCCCAGGTCCTCTCAATATTTAACTTGGCGGTTTTGGAGCCAAACAATACTGGGGATCGGTAACGAGCCTAAGCATTCTTATATTTCGATTAATTTCCAATTGACGCTAACATTTTGAAAACGTAAGGAAAATGAGACGCCCTTTCCCCAATTCCACATTCTTCCGAATTACCCCCGACCGTCCCCAACCTTCGGGAATGTATACGATTCTGCATTAATTAGCACACTCTTGGACGGTCAAGACAAAGTGAAGTCTTTCTTAACACGAACAGACCAGCCATTGGATATAAATAGTGATAAACCAGCTGAGTTCTTATCACTCGACTCTCGGACTCTCAAGAAACACTTCGTAATTCTGCCCACTAGCCTCTTCAATATTCTGAAAGGGTACAGGTATCTGAAGAGACTCCAGGCTGAGACGAATTAAGTATTAAGCAATTCTTTAACCTCCACCAAAAACAGTAGGTTACAATAAAAAGCTTCACGAGCTATATTCAACATACTTAAGCTTGGTGGCCAGTGACGGTTCTAAGACCAGTCTCAACTGTTCGCAAAGATCCTGAGACAAATTGGACGTGAGAAGCTCGTACTTGCGCCAGGCCTCTTGAGCCATTTGCTGCTGCTCGGCCGTGCCTCGGTCCATGCTGCTCCATTCTGCTAACTGATATTCCAGATCAGCTCTCACCTTCTCAGGATCCAGTGATGATATATCCTTCGAAATAAAAGGGCCCAACGGTAAAAGACAAGCGTGTACATTTCTTTGTATGAAACAATTATCCCTTAAGTAAAAAGCGAAAAAGTAAAATACGGGCACCAAGCATTGGGCTATTGCCATCAACTAAAAATATGGTTGAACATCTGAGAAAAATTCAACAAGTAAAGAGAGGCCAGTATTTGTTTCTTTTTTCTTTCTTCTGGACAACAACGAAACTCCCTGAGAACTAATTGCTGTTAGGACCCTCAGATATTCTATCTCTTTGAATACAGCGAGCAACGTAAACTGCGTTCTAGTTCTAAACAACACTGTTAAGTCCTACCAATCTTCCAAAGGCCAGTGCCATGTCGGATGAATGGTAAGTACTGCGCAGACGCTCAGCTGTCATTCCTTCATCATCATTGGTTTCCATGGCTTCCTCGACAGCCTCACTTTCGCGCGCCTCGTTTCCATCTTCATTATCCGCTGTCAGCTTGGGTTTCATTGGTGGAGGAAGTCGGGACGGCTGGGACTTATCTGGTGTCTAATAGGAAAAACAACAGTAAATGGCCATGTAGTACCTTACCTTTCTCCAAGCCCTATTAGGAAATATTCAACTTGTTGAGACTCATCTTAAAATTGACGACCTCCAGTGCAGATCTACGTTTGGGTGTAGAGAGACTCAGTACTTAAACATACATAAGGGGTGAGGTGAGTCTAAGGACGTCCATCTGGATTATTAATCCAAGTACATTCAACAAACTAGGATAGCATCATTCTCCTTGAAAATGGCACCGTTTTCTCTGCTGCCCTTGGGCAATCAGAAATTCGACTTTACAAATTAGCTTCTTTGACTTTACGCTATCCAGGTGAAACACACAAAGTTAAGTGCAATACACAGAAACAACTACGAAACCGTTAACCGAAATAGCCTAAGACACCTGAAGAAGTCAGTTGAAATAAATCTTTATTGTCGGAAACACCTCGCACTTCTCACGATACAATGTTGACATTTCCCGCCCTTCATTAACCAGATTGGGAACCCTTTCTAAACCCTCCCCTCCCTCAATAAAACTGTTACCGGCCTAATAATGATTGTACTTACGGGAAGTTCCTCGTTATCGTAGAGCAAAGCTGTTTCCGTTTTTGAGTCCCCTTCGTCTTCTTCACCGTCACTGTGCATCTCGGGAAAGTTTGCTTTATCTTGCGTTTCGGCTTGATCAGCGGTTGCACTGTCAAGAGTCTGTGCGTCATGTGAACTTGGATCATCGTTTCGCATATGTTGGAACAGATCTTCAGTTCTCGTCTCATTTACCTGACACAGGTAAAAATAGCAAATATAAGCCAAGATAATGATGAGTTTCTTAGAACGTTAAAGATTTTAACTATTGAGGTCGGTCGTGGATTAAAGAAAGACATTATTTGCTTTGTCGAAAGGGTGGGAGAAAGAATAAAAAGTGAGTTCCCTTCGAGGAATTAAATCCAGACCATGCGTTCTGCATGCACTGAGGAGCACGAGATTTAGGACAACTCCCACACTGCTATACTTTCTCTACTTGTAATTCTTTTCAAGGACTGCTATGTAAAGAAATCTTGAAGAATCAGTATTTGGGCTTAACCTCAAAGGTGCTGTGGAAATATTTAATACTTGCTTCCACCGAGAATATTAGTGTCACTAACTCATATCTAATACAACATAGTGACCAGTTTAGTGTTCAGTTGCATGCACAGAGTTACGCTCAAAACGTCTCAAGAGAACACAGCCCTGGGGTCGATGTTGCTGCACAAAAATTGTCAAAAATATTAAACTTGGGGAATAAATACATTCTTCCGATTATCAATTGTGTTTGTTAGAATATTTCATAACTTCCAATCTACCTCTGCTCCAGGCTCCAACTCTGTTTCATCAACAGTCTTCAGTCTCTTGTGAGTTGTTTCATCCATGGAACCCAGTGCCCGGTCAGACCTGGCAAGGTTCATCTGCTTTCTTTGCCGAGACTGATGTAAAAATATAGACCAACTTGAGAAACTACTTAGTGGGCTACAACTCATTTCTATACTTCAAATTTCTTTGGTGATTTATCCATACCCTAGCCTTTCAGGTTCTCATTCTTGATCGAATATAGTTTGTGTGCTTCTTGTGTGCTTCTCAAACGACCAAGAAAAATACTTCTTAGCTGACGAGGGTAAATAAAGGTGTCTTGCATCTTACCACACGAATAAAAATGTGCATTTAATGCAATACTTGTGTACCCCTCCACCTTTCCACTGCAAAATCCCCTTCAAGGTCCCCAAAAAGTGGTTTATTATAAATTGCAGTGTAAATCGTTACGCGCTCTGACCTGTTGTCTGGCATCTGTTGTGGTTTGAGCGATCCTTTGGCTTGACTCTCCGAGGTGTCCGTCATCAAGTGCCTCAGCTCGCCCCACTCCATGCTCCTCATTACCTTCTGTCGATTCAGATTGGCCAGCAGTAACGTCACTTTGTTCTCCATTCCCATCTCCTTCTCCAGAATCCTCCACAGCCTGGACATTTTCTTGAGGCTAAAAAATAAATCAAATGTCAAATATGACAGTTTAAAATTCTCTTGGTGGCCTTGCTGTTACCCCACTCACAGACCATCAACGCACACAAAATTTTGGCAAAGGTACGACGTCGGTATAAAATCAGTAACGAAAAATACGAGATGCAAAGATTTTAGCTCCAAGTGTCGTTACTGATGAAAAACGCAAAGCGGGCAAATTTGAATCGCTGAGCTTAAAGTGAAAAATCCCTCCTCCGTTTTCATCTAGCTCCTAGTTAGTCGAGCGACCTCTTGAATTTGGATGCGGAATAATGGACGCAGCATGTCTTTTTTTTCTGTCTTGCTGATATATACATCAACATACACGTTCATCTGACCTCAGTATCTGTTTTTGTCCTCCAGTCCTCCTGGTCAGTCTCATCAATAGCATCTTCATCCTGTTATAGGCAAGAGGGGAGAGGAGAGAAAGAAAGAAAATGCTAAGAACTCAAATGGCCAAGTAATTCATGGTTGCTATACCTTCTTCACCCTTTTGACCAAAAGAGTGACCAAAATCAAATTTCTCCTTATAGTAATACTGCTGAATCATTCATTACGCTCAGGAGAATAAAGGAAATGATCGCCAGCCTAATAAGCTTTGATTGTTAAACGAATTCTCCTTGTCAGTGCCATAGGAAAAGTAGAAACGGGAGTAAGGAGAATATGACTACTGAAGTGCACCGGATCTCCATTATGTCTTAAATTGGAAATTTGACAATGCTCCACCTACGCCAACACACTGTTGTAGAACCAACAATTTATAAAACGGGTATCTGTTAAGGGAGAACATTCATGTTCAGTGGCAGAGGAAGCCTCCGCGAGCACCACTTATTCATTTTAAATTCAGAAACAGACATCATTACTTGTCCCTAATGCTCTGAGTCTGTTTGGGAAACGGTATGCGGTAACAATCATCGCAATATTTCTATGCACTAAGTCGAATCTATCAAAAAGAAAAAAAAAAAAGGAAAAAGGGTCCTAATCACTAACCTCGGGACCCTCTCCTACATCTTGTTTCTTATCACCCTCAGTCCCCTCCACGTCTTCTTCATCACCCAGTTCTTCCCCTTCCTCTTCATCGTTGCCGGTATCCATTTGTTCATCATCTGGCGCCGTTGTTTTGTCTCCAGTTTCTTCGGTGTCAATTTGATCTCCTTCAAATTCATCAGTTTCCATTTCTTCTGGTTGGTCTTCAACATCAAAGAGAGGATAAGTAAATGTGATTGCATTTTAAAAACCAGATTTTGATGAAACACCCAGTGAAGTTTAAACATTTGCTCATCGTTTTCTTTACCCACTCTGTTCCAAGAACAAAAGGACATAACGAATATGGAAGCGATCCTCGCATTTATGAACACCATTTAAGAAGTAGTGGAAATAAAGCTTGAAAAAAATTCAGGCCCGTACGGGATTTGAACAAAAGGACATTTTTCTTTCAATCCTAAGATTCCAACAAAGGCCTTCTTCATCAAGCTGCATGTCGAGTCCAGGTACTGTCATAATTATAATATTTTTTCTTCCACAATCTCCGCGATTCAGCCTTTGTTTTACCCAGCTTGTAATGTTCAAGTATCTTTTGCAGTGTAACATAAACGACTCACCTCCTTCGCCTTCGTTCCCTTCATCGTCAAGCTGCAGATCATCAGGCAGCTCTAATTTAGAAGATTCCTCTGCATCAACAGGCTCTTCTTCTTTACCTTGCTGTCCAGTACCTTCCTGTTCATCCTCCCCCTCGTCACTCAAGTTTCCCTCTTCACCTTGCAAGGCTTCATTGATATTTTCGTCACTTTGTTCTTCATCAGCATCAGGTTGTCCCTCTGTTTGCTCTTTTCTTTCATCTGTAGAGCCTGTATTTTAAAAGGAAAACTATTCATGAGAAAATTTACAAACATTATGTGAAAAACCGACGTTCATCTTGTTCCTTTGAGAACGCATGAATCAAAAGGCTGAAAAATGTAAGGTTAAGAGAAAGTAATATGAGAACTGCTTAACGGCAGGACCTCCAAAAAAGACGGCTTGTCTTGCAGAAATAATTAAATATCTTAACATGTACGGCTCTGTAGGGTCTTGGTTCACACTACTCACAAAAAAAGAAAAGAAAAAAAAAACACACGGGTACTTGCGACAAAAAGACAACCAAGACTTGCTTTAGCCTATAGCACCAGCTATATCTGAACTGACGCTTTCAACAGCCAGTTCAAGGTTAAAGCAGCTAGTGACCCAGTTGAAACCTAATCACCTTACCTTTGTTGTCTACCTTAGCGACCAATTGTGACTGAGATTCGGCTTCAGCCCCTGTTCCCTTCTCTTCTTTCATCTCGTGTTCCTGGAGCGATACAAGAGGAAAGAAGATGATCTCATGTATTTCATATTGTCACATCCCTTTGTTTGCTTTTTTGAGATTCTAATCGCATAAGATCACATGCAATCACTTTGCGTCTACTATTAAATGAGGAGGTACAACTGACAAGTTCCTACCTGTGCTGCTGTTGTAAATGGTTTAAATATCAAATGCATGATAAAAACTCTAGAACTATGACTGTTTGTCGAAAGGAAGGGTATGCAAAATGGGTACGATTTCTCAAAAATGTAATTCTTGCAAACCTGCATTAACCTTTTAACTCCTTAGATCTGATTGTTAATTCTTCTATTTGGCTGCTTTACATTTCCTCGCAAATTAGTTACAAGAATTTGGTTTTATATCATGAAAACAACTACCAGATGAGTTTGAATATTCTCATTACTGGGATAATGTATGGATATTTACGGGAAATGTTGGAATTCAATCACTTCTCCCATTTCTTCTAATATTCCGAGGGGAAAAAAACGAATTTTACTTTAATGATGCTGTTCCTCATCTACCTCTTTTTCCTCCTCGTCATCTGAGTCTCCCCAGATCTTCTCGTCCAGTTTTTCAGTGTCTTGTCCATCAACCTCTCCCATCTGTTTATCAACATCATCCTCGTCCCCATTCCCTTCCTCGTTCTCCTCGTCCTCTTCCTTTCCAGCTTCCAGGTCATGTAAAGCCCCCTCAAAGTTCTCACTCATTTCAATACCATTTTCTTCGTCAGGTATTTGTTGTTGGGAGTCGTCTTCTTTCTTTTCTTGGTCTCGTCCTTCTTGCTTAGCATCTTCAAGCTGGGAAATGTCAAATAAATAACTTAATAAAACAGGTAACACTTTAAACAAAAGCTGTAATTTTCTATTTAGCCATAACACCAATTTTTCAGTTCTTTCTTCATAGATTAACTTCGAATTTGATTAAGTTAAAGTAGATGTAAGGCTACTTATGGAGTTGGTCAACACGATTTCAATGAAAAAAACTCGTTTAGAGAACTTTTCCAATTCTGAATGGAAAATCTTCAAAATGCAGAGAAAAAATGTTGTGTTTTTAAAATGAAGTTATGAAAAGGTGCAAGACTTTTTTAAATCATAAAAGTTTGTTTCTATTCCTCAATTCGAAGGCTTAGGGAAGACTTATTGATTAAATTTTCAGAAAATAATAATTAAAAAAAAAACCGAGAGCCACGAGCAAAAAAAATTTAAATCTAGGGTCTGATATTATAAAGTGCAAGCAACGATTTTCCAAGGCAGTATGAAATAACAAAATTACCAAAGTATACTAGTACATTGACATTAAAAAGAAATATAGGGGAGGTGACCTTAGCTAATAATTGTTTGTTTTAAGGAAAACAGGAGAAGAAGGGTAAACAACAAAATTAACCTGATCCTCATTCTCTATCTGGTCACTGACATCTTTCATTCCCTCTCCTTCTCCAATGCCTCCCCCTTCAATGTCTTCAAACTCTGTAGACCCGTCGCCTTCACCCTCCTCTATTTCCGGGGGCACACAGAATCCTCTTGTGCCGAGATCGGTGAAGATACTAAGCAACACAGACGACAGTTTGCTGGTTGCGCGGTGAGCTTCCAGTAAATTGATGAGAAGATTTTGCGAGAGGTTTAGGTATTGATGGAGTAGGGGGATGGAGCCTTCCAGTAAATGAGCGCAAAAGCCACTGAGTGGAAATTGAACTGACATGTTAGAAGAAGACCATGAGGAATCAGTCATGTTTTTGACCTGGGACAGAAGTGAAGAAATGCTCCTCGTCACGCCGTTTAATTTGAGCCTGCTGATGTCGTTGAGTAAGTTCTGATGTAAACGAGTTGCCAAGTGTCCATCTTGAAGCTGTAAGTTCTCACTGCCATCTAATTAATATGTAAAAGAAGATGCTACGTTAACAAGTTCACACACCCCAGAGGCCATGAGGGAGTTATCACTGAGAATTCATATTAAATTTTCCACAGCAAGGAGCACAAACAAGTCTCACTAAGGTGAACACTTTCGACACAAGCAATATGTGATCATTTAAGTAATGTGATAGTAAAACACATTGATCCAAACTCTCGGGATTACCCAGCCATGATATGTTTGGTTCACAGCGAGGAGCTATAGGTCGGTACTATAAGCTATAGGTTGGGGTTCGCCACATTTAGACTTATGTCTGTATCTGAGCAACTACACACCCACCCCTCCCCTGACCCAATAACAGTCAACTAATTACAAGTTAGGGCTAATGCTGGGTTAGGGGAGGGGTAGGTGCGCAGTTACTCAGATACTGACATGGACCCCCATATTTCGAGTGATGTATTTCGCTACATGCAAAATAACCATAACTACCTTGATCAGCTGTGTTCTTTTTGCTACCTTCACCTTCTTCGTTTCTTTCTTGGGTGCTATTTTCTGTTACCTTAGCCAAACGCTGAACTGCCAGAAGAAGCGAGGTGTTCAGGGCGTCCACATCGCTGATAAATGCATTCAGAGTCGCCACTCCTAAACAAAATGAAAATATTCTAAACAGGCCACTCTAACACACCAACTACACTTAGGAAAAGGCAGTTTCAACCCCAAGATGATTAATGTTGTCTGAACATACTCAATAACATAAAGCTTTACAAAGTACGCTTAAGAGATCTGAAGCAGCAGTACAAATACTACTACTAAATTGTGGTACAATTCTACCGGAAAATGTGCTGAAATTCTCAACTACACCATGACAACAGATGAGGGTAAAAAAGCCAAATTTGTTTAAAGTTATAGTTTACTTGTATATTTACCTTGGTCATCAATGTTTTCATCACTCCAGGGTGTCTGAATCTCCCCCTTCCCAGACACAGCCGTACTCCATGAATGGAAATCGTTAAATTTCTCTAAGATCTCGTCTTTGAGGCGGACTAGTGGGCCACCAAGGCCTTTGCTAACTGAACAACTGTAATGATATAAATTTGTACAAATCACTACAATTGAAAACTAGATGTAAATTTTAGGGATTAGAACATTAGGATAGAATGCATTGTATTTCTTTCTTATATATGGTGTATGGAGAAATTATCAAATGAGTGTCGAAAGTGATCCGGGATTCCATTGGTTTTGCTTTTCCCAGCCCTATGATTGGTCGAGAAAACTCGCGCCACCCTCTCAACCAATCAGAAACCAAAAGGCAGGTAATCGAAACTTGTTCATCCATTTTTTCCCAAGCTTTAGGCAGTAAGCTTGTTTTCACTTTGAGTTATGATTGGTTCTATAGGGAATTTTCCTTTCTTTTGATTAGCCTTTGTGATTAATTTGGTTCTAGTTTCAAGACACTCAGTTGAAAAGCGCTCTAACCAACCACTAAGATTGTAAGTTGGTCGTACCAACGACAGTCCTGATCATCCCTACAAAATTAATCAGTAAGTGATTCCTCCTTTTGTTTCTTTTAATCAACTTCTTGATAAAGAGCAAACTCACCACTTTGATTTAAACTTTGGCAACATTTCATCAATCAAGTCTGTTGTTCCTTTCAGCTTGAAGAAAGCATCCCTTGTTACTTTGTTCTGTAGCCTACAAAATAAAAGACATATTGATTTGTTCTTCAGAAAACAAATCGTACTAATTCATGAAAGGATCATACTCTTCGTAAAACACTTTTCATCATGTACTGATGAATTCTAAGTGCTTCTTTCGATTTGAAAAAACGTCCTAAGAAATAGCTATTTTTCAGGGGTAGACGTCCGTATAAGGGGAATCATAAACCAAAAATTAGCAAGGATGCTTCTGGTTTTTCTGGTTAGAAAAAGATTGACACAGACTAGAAATGACGAACTCAATGAATTTACCCGCATCATTGAAGAACGAGAAATAGCGGCGAGGCCCTTTGCTGCGAATCTTAAAAAAGTTTAATTTAAATTTTCACATAAGCAGTGAAGTTCTAATACAGTTGATTTGCCACCTATAGAGAAATTTTCAACTGAACGTCGAAATGACCTGGGATTGCTTTAGTTTAATTTAACTTTGTTCTGTGATTAGTTCTGAAAACTCGCGCCATCCTCTCAAAAAAATCATACGCAAATTAAAAACAGTCGCGTTTTTCCGCGCTTCGAGCCGTTTGCTTGTTTTCAAGTGAGTTCTTATTGGCTAGTGACAATGTAAACATATATTCTGATTGGCCGCTGGGATTACTTTGGTTTGGGTTTTTTAACCCTCAAATAAAAACTGCTTTCAACAAAGCTACCGTCATATTACCAAGATGCTATGGTTGCTGTCCTGTCATTCCCGCTTGTATTGTTCAACACGTGATCAGATAGAGCAGCATAGGGCCGGACTTCATTGGCCACTTGGTGCAACCTCGTCACAGTGTTCTGAAATTTTGACAGATACGGTACTTAATGTAACAGAAGAAGTTTATTTTAGGTAAAATTAGCGTCAATAGAAATCATTTACACTTTCCTGCATAAGTTCAATTTGTCTATTCAATACAGCGAAAAAAGAATCGCTTGAAATACAGGTTGTGGCTCTTTCGTTTAAGAAATATTTTCAAAATATTTCTCGATTGAATTAAGCCTAGCACGCTTTCTGTCCGTGCCCCAAATTCGTGAAATAAATTACTGTATTCCTTATTGATATCTTAACTCTTCAAACTCCCATGAGTGACCAAAACAGAATTTCTTCTCACAATATCAATTCAGTATCAAGCAGAAAAGTGATGAGAATCAAGAAAATATCAATTCAGGGATTATTAGTTGATCCAATACTATATTCTCCGAACTAACTTCATAAGAATTGTAAGATTAAGGGAGTGAAAGAGTTCACCTTGCTTAATTGTTTCGTGGTCAAAAATATAAAATAAAGAAAAGGTATTTTGTTCAACTCATCAGAAAGTACCTCCAACGTTTGAATCATCTCCTTAATGTCAGGATCTTCTGCAGACGAAACTGCCACAGACGAAAGCATTGCTTGTGGCAATGGAGTCCAATTGTGAAGTGGCGTTTTTTCATTGGGACAACATTTCAGCAATATGGACATTTGCTGTAGAACATGAGCCGTGTTAGTGAGAAGATCCATCACTTGAATCTGCAAAAAAGGAAAAAGGAAAGAGAACTCACTTAAATAACCTTCCAGAAATAGGATAACAAGTGTTAAAGGGTTTGAAATTTCATGTCGTCTCTCCGCGTATTGTGGGCACATAAAAAAAGAGAAAAAGGTGCTGATCCATTTTAAAACACAAAGTCACTACATTTATCCCCGGAGAAGTATCCCCAAATGGACAAATAAACATAAATTCAGGCTAACAAGGACGCAAAAAATTTACAGTAATCCTCTGAAGAGTTTGAGAAAGTTAGCTTGATTGCTATGGCCGCGGTCCGTGAAGCCTGTTCTAGACGTTCAGCGAATAAAGCGGAGCGAAATAAACGAACAACGCGATAGTGGCGCACAGGGATGCTGAAAATAAAGGTAACTTAAAGCTCTAAGTCGTTTTAAGCAATCCGACTCAACCTTCCCTCGTGGTGACTGAACGCCAGGAACAGGCTGATATCCGTGTCATCTGTCAAGATGAAGACTGAGACGGGTTACAAGAAGCAATGCACCAAGATTGTTTAAAAATACGAACGTTCAAGTCATGATTGATTTTCGTTTTGCATCTGATTGGTTGATACGATGGCGCGAGGTTTCTAGACCAGTCATAGAGAAGTAAGCAAAACCAAAGTATTTCTGGATCATTTTCGTCACAATTAACAATCGATCTCATTATATCACACTTACAGTGTGCTTCTCAAGGTCCTTCTGAGGTGGAAGACTCGAGATTCCGCTGTTGGCATCTTCATCTGGTGATGTGACAGATTCTCTCAACTGCCTCAAGCCAACACTAAGGTGAGGCCAAAGTGTACACGGCAAAACACAATTAATTCTGATCCTACACCACATACTTAAACTAAGTTATACTCGAAACATCAGAGAAGGAAGGCAAAGTCACAGACAATGTCAAGCAAAACCTGCATTATGCGGACACTACCCCCAGTCCCAAATTGTTCCTTACTTATTAAAAAAATTTTCCCTCCACGCATCCATGTCTTGAGTATAAAGAATCTGTTTTTAGCAGACACCTCAGTTAAGCGGATTCGAACGACGGAATTAAACGCTTTTGTTACAAGAAAACTGTATTAAGCAGACAGCTTAGACACGGATTCGAGTCTCATTGTTAATTGATCGACATTTATGCGTGATAAAGAAATTGCATTACATCAAATCGCCATCTTAGAGGCTAATCCGGCTATGCGATTGGTTCATTTGTACCCCTTTGTACAAATTGGCTGTGTACCATTGTAACCCCGTCTACTGCAAGTGTCATTGAATCAGAAACCGCTACTTCAAACTAACACAACCCATAATTTCTTAATACACGCAAGGCCCACGGCATACCTTAACTTGCAAGTCGTTAGTAGAGGCACATAAGAGGGTGTTATTAACAAATATGCAACTGAAACTGTAACAAGGTGAGTGATCAAAACAGGTTACCTTGTACGTCTAATGTTTCTCGATAACTGCGAGATGACCTGTCTTTGTTCATAACAAACATGAAGCAAATGGTTACTACAACCTTTACAACGATCGATGTCACCAACGCTGAGCTCCTATAGGTACCAAAAAAACATTAACATAATACGGTTAGGTCGCTAGAAATCAACATAGCAGTCATAGAATAGAAATATGCTAGGATAAAAACTGCTTGAAAGAAATCCAACCTAAAAAATAATTGATTGACAAAGAAAAAAGTGTTAATTTTAAATGTTAATGAATGCAACTGATTTGACCCTTTAACTCTAAGAAGTAATTGACGCGTATTCTCTCCCCAAACTTTCCGTTCATTAATAGTACATTGCCCGGCTATTGGGCGACGAGAACATTCATTCACGTCAGCTATAGGGCATTATCTGCGTATCTCACCGAGTTGTCCTAACGAATTTTCAGGGAAATAAGAAGCAACTTTTTGAAGGATTGTGTGATAGATCTTAGCAGTTTAAGGGCGGAGTGATGATGATTATAACCTGTAAAATCTCCACACTTGACGGGCACAATGGAATGAAAAATTTTGTTGCAACCGTTCATAAAAAGACTTTACTTGGTGGCTTCTGGTCTGTCAAAGTGAATTCATTTCTTACGAGTTCAAATTGCATCTTGTCACTTTTTAAATGGCACCTCCTCAGCTACCCAAACAAAAAGCGGGCATTTCGAATTTTAACTTACCTTTGACGGCGTTATCATGGCTACAGTTAGGGCAGAAGACCTGGCAAGTGACTTATAGTAATAACGACAACAACCCTCCAAGAGCTGCCTCACATTATGTAGCAAGTCACTGAAAGAAGTCAAATTCACAAGAGTTGATGGAGTGTAGATCATAAGCAACAATTTTTACTGCCTATAGGTATAATTTTTTTATTCATTATTCGATGTATCCTTTCTGGGGACCTGATGGGAGACAAAACTCCAACCAGGGATATAACAAGGAACTTTCCTTTAGGCTGAGAGCCATGACCACTCAACAATAAGCTTCAGAGCAGCCATGATAGGTGGTTTTGGTAAAATCTCAGCCAACACCAAGGTGTCACGAACAATCTGACTCAATGAAGCACAAGTTTAGCTAGCAATATTGATCATGAAGGATGTGGTGATTGTGTTTATTTTGTCTTTGTGTCAGCATCGGCTGGAGCGAAGGTTGTTGCCTTTCAAACTGAAAACTTTAAGACATTACTGCGTTAATATAGCCTCGCACGTTTTCTGTCTATACTTAAATTTATACAATTCCCTAAATATTTCTACTAAAAAACAGATGATGTTTTGACTTAATGGAAAACTTGTACAATTTTGAAATTGTTCGTACACAGATATTGCAGTCCTGTCGCCTTAATTAACCATTGCACTGTTTTAACTTTGAAATCCTTTAAACCCATCTTAAATGTCTTGTTGATAACTTCAAAATGAAGTTGGTGAGCCACTGCCATTATAGAATGAAAGAGAACTCTTATCTTTTTCAAAGTTCCGATTTCTCCTAAAACAACTTAATATTGCAAACCATCGGAAGTGCTATAACACCAGCATTTGTCGAGCTGTTATTCGTTCTTGCATACTTACGGTGACCTGTCAGACAGCAGCTCGACTGATCTTGTTACAGCCTCTTCCTCAACTGCAGCAACCAACATGGCTTCTTTTCCCGTGGACTGGCGCTGGAGATTGAGCCCCTTACGATAAGACACGCCTAGAAATGTATATTTGGTAACAATGACTACATAACCTCAAAAGCTACAATTTGCGACACAATTAGTTGACACATCATGCTTAAAGAATTCTATTAATGTGTAGAATAACACTCCTGTTTCTATCACACTCTAAATCATTGATAAGACCCCCCTTCCCCCAATCATTGTTGCAAGTATACGGCTAAAAGTTTGGGGAATCACGATAGAACATTGTTTTTTGTTTGTTTGTTTGTTTTTTTTTTGGGGGGGGGGGGGGGGGGGAGTAATATGGGGTTGAGGGTCAATTTGTCAACAATTTTGTCCTTTCTAGATAAGACCCGAGTAACTTCTTAACTAGTCCGTGTACAAAACAAACAAAGAAACAAAGAAAAGTAACAGAAAATAAAAAAAAAAGAAAAACAAACAAACAAAAAAAACAAAGACACTTGTACACAGATTCAATTCACATAAACCTGGATTTAAAGGACAATTTGTATCATACCAAGTAATGCCAATATCTTGAACAGGTCTGACAAACTTTTACGTTTCCGTTGCTGAATATGTTTCTTCAACTCTGTTTGTTTCTCTTTTGGCTGAAAAACAGTATATAATGAGTTACATAAAAATATGTCAAATGTGAAACGGATGAAATGATAGACTATGTTTAATTATGTAAATAACAAGTAGCAACAGGACCAAAAATTCAGTGATAATTTCGAAGTTCTCCTTATACCTGACTGGACACATCCAAAGCTTGCAGCTCTTTTGAAGTGGTTATGACTTCAGCTGAAAAAAAAAAATAATTGCCTAAACGTCAACAGCTATCTTTATTACAATTTGCAGTAACATCACAATCTGATTGGCCAATTTGCCGTGTTCATAAGAACACAGGCAACGCTGCTCGCGTCAACGTGTCACGCAATGGTCACGCACTGAAAGAATCGTCTTATTTGACGTCGATATCGTGGTAAAAAATTAAATCGACCATGCCAGTCGGCTGCGCGTCGTGGTCCACAACATTTTGACCACTGTGATGATGAATATCGCTGTCGATAACAGTACACACCACACCAAACCACTGTCGATTCGTTAAATAGGCTTGCTCGGCCGTTTGGCACAAGCTTTTCTCTTTCAGTCCTGATACATGGAAAAATATATAACAAACGCGCTCTTATTCCTAAATTGTTCAGCATCGGCATAGGAATACGCTGTTTGCAATGAGAAAGCCAATAGAGGAATAAATCTGGTGTTTCATCGGTTTTGACTCATTTCACAGTGTAATTTGTTAAGAAAATTCTCACCATCCTTTGGCTAACAAGATGAAAAAAGAAAACAAATCGTCCCTTAGTGAACCAAATTTTCGCGCCCCAGATTCCATTTGTCCGAATTTCCTTTTTCTTCTTTTTGGGATTTTGAACTTTGTTTCGTTTCGCTCATACGATTTGGTTTAAATTGAAAACACTGCCTTAACATGTTCTGGCAATGAAATACCGCGGTGATGTAGGAAAAAAAAAAGTCGTGTTAAGTAATCAATTAAAAATTGTGTTAGCTCTGGAAGAGTAAGCTTGTTTTTCATATACTTTAATATCTGATAAAACTCGTACCTGTAAAGTCATCCAAGCACGTCACTAGTGGCTCATACTCTTGTCGACAAATAATCTGGTGTGACAACTGTCTCATTTTTTGAAAGAGTTTTGTAAGACGATTCTGATTTGATGGAAGACACAATCTCCATTTCTCGTGCGTTGATATAAATTGAAGACTTCTGTTACAGTGTGCCTGAAGAGGAAACACATTTTTAGAATAAGCAATTTTTTCCTTCCGGTAACTGGTGTCACATCTCAGGAGTTAATTGTAGTTTAAAATGGACTTCATGTCATAATAATTTAAACTAATTTAATTTGTTTTTCCCTTTGCTCCAAGTAACTGCCGAAGTCCTTGACCAAAGAATTATGCTAAATAAATGTAAAACACACCAGTCTGAACTTAGCTAAAACTAAATTTTAAACCGCACTATGAACATTAACTTTCTTAGCACCATCATTGTTAACAATTATTTGCTTAGTTGGTTGGAGTTCTTTTGGGACGCAAACTGGCCAACTTTGGGCCCCTCTGTACCATATTCCAACGGCAGTAACCACAATTCTGTACACAGCGGGATGAAGTGTTGATCAAGGTTTTCAAAGAGCATTTCTGGACCCCTCTCTTCCCCCCTTTGCAATTTGAAGAGAAGTGCCTCAAACCCTCTAGAATAAATATTCAGTACGCATTTTCTCCATTCTATTCTTTACACATTCATTGCTGTGCTGACGAGGAGAATTTGTTTAACAATCAAAAAACCATGAGCTTCTTTAGTTGGTGATCATTTCCTTTAATCTCGTGACTTTGATGCTTGATTCAGGGGTTATATTTAAAGGAGAAATTAGGTGCTAGTTACTCTTGGGGGTGATGGGTTTTATGTGATACTGTTAGGACAGACGAGAAAACAATACCAAAAATACCCATAAAACCAAAAATTAATATTAGCGATACAAATACTTGTGATCATCTGACCTTCAATGCTTCTGATGATATGAACCACTCCGCTTGCACATTTTTTCTTTCATTTGTGTAATTCTCTTTATTTTCAGAAGGAGAAAGAGCTTTCTCCACATTTGTCAAGGTCTTGGAGACTGGCTCATTCAGAGAGGCCTTTGAAAACGAAGAAACATTTGTAGTTCACAAGAAGATTGGTAGTTAAAGATATTAGACTAGGGTGATAGTTCATCAAATTTCATTTACAGCAAGAGCTTAAAGTAAAAAACAAATAAAAAAACAAAACAAAACAAAAAAAAATTAAATTTTGATCGCAGATGCAGCAGATTTAGGCCTCCAGTCTTGAGTATGTGATCGTAATCTGAGCTCCTGCATAGGGACACTTTGTATGACGTATTTGTCCCATTTTACAGTTGCTCACAAGATTACATAAATAGGTATTTAAGATAGCAAATATTTCACAGAGATATAAAATGTTTGAATACGCAAAGATCGTAGAGACGTTATCCTGCTTTAGTACCTCGTATCTGCGCACAAATTTGTGCAATGTGTGATGAGACTTGTCCGCCGCTTGTTTCATAGCCCAGAAGTTGGAGTCATTCCACTTGGCAATTTTCACAAAATCCTACCAGACAAAATTATATTTTAACAACTTGAATTTGTAACTCATCTAAAATTTCGTTACAATAAAAATTCTCACAGCAGGGTGCCATTGTTTCAAAGAAAGCTCACATGCATCAACTTATTACAACTCATACAAGAACTCCGAAGTTTTAAAGTTCCGTTTTATTTCATATTTGATTATACATTTGCTTGCCTCTTGACAAAACTGAAATAAAGCAGCTCACCTTCAGATCTTTTTCAATAGGTTTCCTCATTTCTTGCAGAGATTGTTCAACAGAAGGAATAAATTGCTTGTAATAACAGAACAAGTTCCATAGCACATCTGATACTTTAACTGAAAACAGAGTCACTTTTGTTAGAGAAATTCCCATGTCTCACAACGAAAGGACTATTTCATTGGTCTCTAAATTAATGTCTTCACATTTTTTTTAAAATACTACAATTCTCCAAGTTTTAACGGGGGATGTGCTGAATTGGAAAGACCTCAGGGACTGAACTTCAGCGGCAAAGTATTTGAGTCTGATGCTTGTGCAATTAGGCACTCTCCTCAAAGCTTAAGTTGCTCAAGGATTTGCTGAAAGTTTGAAGCAATACCCCTTAAGAGAACAAACCCGTCTACAGTTTGACTTTCAACGATACCATCAAATCATAGTTAATCGAGGGGACTATCAAATGACAACTATTTCGAAGATTAATTACCTTCTCCAGTGCTAGCCTCTTCGTAGCACATTTGTTTGTAAAATGCAAACAGCATTTGTAACCGGGAAGCAAACTCTCCAAGTGTTGAGCTTTCGATAAATCTTTGTAAAGGTTCGATTATCTCACTGCCATCAGGAAAACCCTCTGTTTATGGAAAGAGAAAGACAGATAAAGTTTTAGATGTGTGTAAATTGACTAATGAAATGCAAGTTCTCATAATGGTCAGCGGAGTATTATATACTGTAGTTTTTAAATTTAGAAAGGCCACCGTCTGCTAATAGACGTTTATGAGGAAGAATCTGTCATAACCGAAGTGGAGTATTGAAAGCTTAGAATGTGTGTGAATCACACACAACTCCTTTTCATGGCTTTAGCTTTTCTTCAAATCATTACACTAACATCAGCTAAGAGCAACACTCCAAGGGCGTTGCGTCCCAAATATTTGTTTATACCATAACAATAAACCAGCAAAATTTACCACTAGGTTCCTGCGCATATTCAGTCATCCTAAACTGCACCAAAGAACTATAAATGTGAAACCACCATTGACTGGCTTTTGCTGCTGAATTTAAGGTGGTCACATCTAGTAGTGTTGACCAGCACCTGAAGCAGAACGAGAGCATGGACTTTGCAGAATTAACACAACACTTCGCTTTTACCTGATTATGATAAAAGATTGTAGGGAAAATTTTTTATCCAAACTCTACAGCACTGGAACGTTTAACATGAGTTAATAGATCGGTGAAATGAGTCATGTTTCTCGTTGTCCCAGCACATGATGACAAATGAGATGCTATTTGCAAAATCAGAGCGGCCACACTAACGGGACCCCTGCAGGATTAGTAACTCGACGTTGCTGACCGTCTCTTTTGAACAGGCGAAAAGGAGCGCGTGATTGAAAGCTGGTTTCGAAGCATTGATTCGACGACGATTCCACAATGCCACACTGGAACAATAAGATTGCAAAATTGAAGGAACATACTGGAATTGGAACTAGAAACTGAGTTTGGTAGAAGGACCCTCACGTCAATCTTTAGAAATACCCATACAAGTTGTGCGCACGGCTTATCTTAAAGTTATGAACAAATATAACCGCATACTTTAGCTCCATTTTTCTCCACTCAATGATCAGATGCGTCACATTATCCAAATGGTCTCTTAGGCTGACATGTTTTGCAGCATTTGATTCCCAGTCCTAAAAATATGAACACAATGTCACGCAGGAAAATTTTTAGAATATGAAAAAAATATATTAATTAGGAGATTATTGACTGATCCAATACCAAATTCTATAAGAATTGTCCAGCAGATAGTAAGAAGAATTACAAATGAATTATTGGGAGTGATGGAGTTACATCACCCTCATACTGAGCCTCTCAGTCCCAATACCATGGAAAGGGACTGGGCACCTTTCAAAAGAAAACGCGCAGGGGCAATGACAAGGATATAATAATAATTAGCATTTTTCTGACCGCCTGATACTTTTCCCTTCATGTGAGAAAACATTTTTGTTGTCAATTGCCCTTTTCTTTTCATACCCTTATCGAGACCAGCCTTCTTTGTAAATGCGCCTTTATGCGATAACTACGTTTTCCTGGCTTACTGAGACCTGCTACTAAACTGAACATCTAAGGAATAAAGGGGGCAAGTTTCTAAAGAAACTGAGGTGCTACGTCGGTGGGAGAGTATCACAGGGTAATTAAGTATCATCAACCGAGTTGATAACGTAAATTGGCCACCGTAAAGAGTTTAAAAGCTGACGAAGGGCTAACGCTCGAAAGGTCAGCTTTTTAACTCTTTACGGCGGCCAATTTACGTTATCAACTCAGTTGATAATACTAAATTACCCCCGAACATCTAAGGAGTTCACTTACTTCCAACCTTACCTTCACGAGACTGGACCATGGGAGTCTTTGATTACAAGTGCACTGCTACTCAACTTCTTACCTGGGCTTTTCTTAGTAAAACCTCAAGGCCAGTCAAAATCTTCATCACTGGACTGGTCACGGGGAAAGACAAAATCCTTTCTATCACAACTAGAAGCTGAAAGAGAGCAAACGTTTTAAAAATTACACTGTTTCTGTTCAAACGAGAGGCATTTTTTCATTTAGTACGTTGACGGAAAGTCGACTTAAAAATCTGTCCTCTTTTCGTACATCTGAAATTTAACAAATAAATTACACGTTGCCGTGCGTCTGTACGAAACACATATGACAAGAAGACTTGGCATTTTGCAAACGTACCCTTTCAAAGATGTTCCTTTGGATAACATATCAAATATTAAAATTTGGTTTCTCAGGTTTGACGAGGATGTTTCACACGTTTGAGAACATGTTTCATTTTTCAACACAAACAAATGAAGTGGTCTCACCTGCATTAAAGCAGGATGCCGAGGCCATTCTGCTAACAGCTCGTGAACACGAGCAGCAAAATCCGCAAGAATTGGTTTCACTCTTACAACCTCTTGAATGTTTGAGTCATGGTAGATATCAAAAGGTTTTTTGTCACTCAAACCTTTCTGGTATAGCATTTCTTGCTGTGGAATAAGAATATATTCACTTTGAGCATGGGGAAATTACGCAATATTTATGATGCAGCTTTCTAATCTAGACCACTTCTTACATTTGGTGTGTCGGTACTTCCCAAAAGTATAACCCAGTTCTAAATCAGAAACACACAAATACTGGTAGAACAGGTCAATATTTGCAGCGCAGTGTTTGCGCAGGAACTAAGTGATATCATCCACTAAACCGTAAAGACTAAAATAAATTGCTACACAATGAAACTAAATGAAAGTTCATTATGACATTAAAACCTCTTAAGGCGCAGACATCTCCTGTTGTTTTAACTTCTCTTTTCATTCCTTGACGTTAATTTACTTCGACAAAATCAAGACCTGCATCAGCCTCACTTCAAGGATGTTTTACTAACGCTACATTATTTGAAATATGAAGAGAGCTTTCTGATCAAGCGTCGTAAAACCAACACCAGTCAACGACCAATCAGAACAAAGGTTACCATCGTTATAGGCCAATAAAAACGCTAAAACCGCCTGGAGTACGTGAGAAAACCGCGAAAGACAACCGCGAGTGACGAAGTCGCGATTGCTTGGCACGAGTTTTATAAACTAATGACAGCAAGAAATAAAGCAAAACCAAAGCAATCACAGATTACTTTCGACGCTCAATCGGAAATTGCCCGATTGTTGTAACATTGTACCTTCACTGTCCTGTCTGACTGGAACTGACCCTTCAAAAAGGAACTTTGCAAGAGATGTGATCGAGATGTTTTCCTGTCCGCATGCGACCCTACAGCAAGATTGCACATTCCTTGTTAATTAACCTGCCCAGTCACAAATTTAACAGTACATACGTTGACGTAAAACAAACAACAAATTGGATGTTTTGAAGTATGAGTAAAACCTAAACATTTTCAAAGCTAAAGGCAAATCTTATAACCTACAATGAACAAGGTCTTAGGGTAAATTGAGTTCAAATTCAATGTAATCAAAAAAACATCTTTCAAGTTATCTATTTCTATGGGTTCCTTACATGGTATAAGAGCATTCATCACTGACGCTGTTTCGTAACCCCACTTGAAGGCTTCCAAATACAGCGACTCCATGGAGTCATTTGGTCGGTAACAGTCTGCTTCATGTAAAGCGAAATCTCGACTAGGTCGAAGCCGACAAAAAGTTTCTTCATGCAGCCTCCTCAATTCTGAGAAATCAGGAACGTTCTCCATAAATAGTTCAGCATCCGACTTAACTACACACGAAGATGAAGCATTTTCATCCTGAGGGACAAAAGTATTCTCGTTCAAATCCTGGGGAGCCATAACATCCTTGAAATCGTCATCAAAACGTGGGAACGCCTTGCTTATGGCTCTTTTATTCTCCTCATCGTCACTAAGACTCACGCCGTGTGTTTTGTTCTTGAATTTGAACAAACTTCCTTCCTCTTCCTCTCGCTGCCGTTCTTCCTCTTTGAAGATTTTCCACTTGTTCAGGAAAATCTCCAGAATTGTAACCACTGCTCGGTAAAGTTTTTCATCGAGGAAGCCATGTTGGATGGAGTGGTTACGCAGATGGAGAACTGACAGCCGTAATGCCCTGTGACAGGTAAATTCAGACGATATGATTCGGTTTATTCTTGATTTAGTTTCATCTATGGCGAGTTTTGTATGTAAAATGATATTAGGGTGCAAAGGGTCGACTGATAGTACCTGAAGGAAAGAAATGCAGATGTTCGAGCCGCTGTTTCACGAACTTGTAGATATTTAACCAAGCCTGCGACCAAAAGAAAACATTTTATTTACTATACAAACAACAAAACTAAAAAAAAAGCCTTCCCTAGTCATACAATTGCCATCAGCTGATGATCCAAACACTTAGAGCTTGATAAAAGAATAAAGTAACACCAACGATTCATTACCTTGTATGCAAGCATCGACAGAAGGGGACATTAGAGAAACTGCAGCATCCAAACAGGACAAGGAACTTGACACAGGAAACTCACAAAATGACAATATCACATCTGGTCCACTACACTGTTACGATTGAATGATAATATGGAAAAATGCTGCAGTTTTAACTATTTTTAGCATAGTCCAATTCTTTTTATTTGAATCAAATATTAAGTTTGAACGTTAAATGGGTATGAAAGAAGTCTTCTATTGGCAAATCTTAACCAGATAATGGCTTGGGATGGTGTCTAACTTTTTATTTCATGCATACTGAGATTACTGACCCCCCCCCCCCCCCC